CCAAACAGTGAATATGTTTAAAAAAAACAAAAAAGCAGATAAACAAGACATCTATCCAACAATGGCTACTTTCATTTTCCAGATGGCCCAAGGTTGCAGGCTTTTCTGATCTGATTACCGAAGACTCTTGACAATCAGCGCATTCACGATTGATCTCATCTCATCGCCAACCCCACACCGGAAGTGCTGCTGGCACCGGGATGCAGAGGGCAAGGCCCCTCCCGTTCCCAACCGCTCCCTCAAATTGGGGGCCTGCACGACCTCTGCTCCCCTCTACTGATGCGCTGGCCCATGAACTGAGACTACGGGCAGGACCCCGTCTTTTCCAGCTTTCCACTGCTCTACCTGCGGAACGACCCCTTCCTGTTAGACACAGTACTGCAAGGCGTCCCTCCTCCTGCCTCACAGAGCCCGCAGATCATGTCCCTCGGTGAGAGAGAGAAAAGGCCGGGCAGCCCCACTCACTGCAAATCTCACCCCCTCACGACAAAGCCGCTGGCACTCCACCAGCCTCCGCCTCGGCACAGCAGCAACAGGAAGTCCACTGACTCCCAAGACATTCCGTCTTCAGGCAGCTGACACTGTCTGAGAGCCGCTCCTCAGGCTGGATCAAAATCTGTCCCTGCTGCGGAGCGGCAGCGCCAAGGGCAGAGCTCCCATCACCTCGCTGGGGTACGCCCTCCAGGATGCCATCCATCCACACACTCGCCAGTTCCAAAGCCCAACTCTGTCCCCTAATGTCACCGCACAGTCAGGGAGGCCCTACTGCTTAGCGGTTAAAGGTACAGCCTAGGAGCTGGGCTCATAATTCTGCTCTGCCCTTGCGAGCTGGGTGACATGGGGTGACATCGGGCAGGTTACTTAACCTCTACAACCAGGCACAGTGTTCTCACCTGTCAGATGAAGAGAAATTGGTACCTGCCTGGCAGGCCTGTTCTGAGGAGTAGCCTGTAAGCCATGTCCTGTATTAGTTAAGGATCTTAATATAAAGTGTCAGAAACAAGCCTGGAACTAGCTTAGCAAAAAGAAGAATTCCATGGCTTTGGTGTCAGCTGGACTTCCAGAAAAGTGGAACACCGGAACTTGAACACCATCAGGACTCTCCCCTGGCGTTTGGCCTCTACCTCTCTCCACACGCAACGCTCATCCTTCCGGACAGGTTTTCTGGAGCTGCGGCCACTGACCGCACTACGAGAAAGGTATCTTCCCTTAGAACCAACCCAAAAATACCCAGAGGCAACCCTGTGCTTATGCTAGCAGGCTGTGTCCCTGCTGGCCAAACCAGAACCCCAGGCTGGGTGGGGGCAGGGAAGAGGAATTTGTTGAAAGAGGGAGGGTGCATTTTTCAGAAGATGGTGGAAGTAATTGATGTTCTCTGTGTGAGTGCTCATTAAATTGTACCTATACTATCGTAAGAATTTCACTGAGTGATTTCTAGCTCCAATTCCACAAAACAGGTATGCTACAAAAATAATTCAGAGAACCAACAGCAGAGTTCTTAACCTTTTATTTTGCTAACTTAAAAAAAAACAAAACCTTTTTTAAAAGCCACAGCTACCATCGCCATCATTTAACGAGAAAATGATCTACACCAAGAAAGCTGGAAGGACATACTCTCAGAATTGACAAGCCTGTCAATCAAGTCAATTTAGCATTAGGGGAAAAAAGTAGCATTTTTCTTAATTTTCTCAATGTGATCCAGGGCTGCTGAAAATTTCACCCAGATCTGATGACAGCCAGGCCCTGACTAGACTTTGGAAACCACTGACCCAGGTCACGGTCCTCTGCCTTGGCCATGGGCAGCCTGGAGCCCGCCCGGGCCCAGCTGTGATTCCACCATACACCTCCTCCAGCGCAGAGCTGGGCATCGGGAGGAACTCACATGCTCAGTGAGTGGGTCCAACAGTCCAGCTGCTATCAACACAGACACAGGCACAGCCTGGCAGTACCTGCTGTCACCAGTGCATGCTGGAACACATACACACACACGCTTTAAAATTCATACTCACCCTAGCTTCAAAAGGACTGGGGTGATTTTATATACACAACACAATCATTAAAGGATGAGATTCAGGAAATGATGGGAAGACGAAGAGAAAGCCCAGGCAGAGGCCAGATGCTCAGACAGAGCACTGGATTTCAGCCCCAGGCTCAGATACAGTTTTCTTGAGAAGTGTGGCTCTGGGAGAGAGCAGAGACATGTGGCTTAAAATAAGAGTCTTCCTCTTCGGCCTAAATCTGAAAGTTGGAGTGTATGTATGTATGTGTGTGTGTGTGTGTGTGTGTGTGTGTGTCTCTGTGTCTCTATGGGGGCAATTTTAGCAGGTGGTCTGAGGGGTCCCTTCATTCAGTCACTAACTCAAGCCACACCTCAATGTACTCTGCTTACTTCAGGGCCACAAAACTGCACCAGGTACAATCTCCATCTCGATGAGAATCATGAATCAGGCAAGTCAAAAACTACTAACATAAACCATAGTGTAAATTAAATCACTGGTCAGTTTCTTCTGTTTCCTTTGTTTAATAAAAGATGAAGATCCTTTTAAATTTAGCCTCGTTAGGTTCCAACAGAGCACTGGGCAACCGCACACAAATAAACAATTGGCCTTGTGTTTTAATTTTCATCTGCTTATTGAATTAAAAGTTCAAACCCTGGGCAGCTGAAGTAGGATATCCTTGAACCCAAGGCATTATGTCAAAACACAACATCCAACACTGTATCTCTGAACAATCACTTCCTTGTTTCGTGTGCCTCTGTTAAAGCCACAGGTGACTTGGCCAAGTTTTCTCTTGGTTTCTGACCATAAGGAAGGCCAGAACTTTATTATTAAGCTCTTTGAGTAAAAGCCCTAACCTAGCCCAGGTCTTTAGATCACCAACACTTCAGGTGTTTTCCACCTGTCTTCCACATTTCACAGGTAGGGGGTTGTAGGCTACAGGCCAAAAAAGGAGCCACAGAGGTTCCAGTGGCAGAGACGGGACTGAGAGGTGAAGCAGGGAAGAGAGACTACAGCCAAGTAGCCAGACAGAGAGAACTGGGAAGAATGTGGGAAGGCCAGCAACGAGAAGGTAAGAACAGAAGGGGTGGGGAAGGAGGGCAAAAGACACATTCATTTAGGATTGACTAAATGTTCTGAGGAGAAGGTTAGGTACAGAAAGCACACTGGGTGCCAAAGCCATCCTGTATGCAGAGCCAAAGAGGAAAAACATGGGTTCAGACTTAGCAATTCTAGGACAAATAAACCACATACAGTCTGGACATGGGTTTACATCTTCCCCAGAAAACTCGGACTTTTTAATAGAAAGGTAAGTTTTTAGTTAATTCTACAGAACAGATAATCTTTCAATGTAAAGTTCTTCAAGCTTATGGAGATTTAGTAACTCTTTTTGTGAACATATCTTAAATATCAAAGTTAATTTAAAAAAAATCAAGCATTATGATTTGTAGCTAAGACCTTGTGGTTTATTAGTGTCCAACCACAGTATTGGTAGGGCAGAATCAAAGCTTAAGAACAGTGCCTGTTCAGACAAAGTAAAAGAAGCCAAAGTTCAATAGCTCACAGGCAGTCATTCAGGACGAGGAGTGTTTGCCACAGTGGACTTTTAAATGTCTGGAGTGACTAAGACCAAAACAGAGCACTCACAGGGAGCAAAGGTTACTTATTAATTCTACTGTTCACCCCCAGGAAAAGTACAAAGGATAATTTAGTACACACTGTTTGGCTAAAAAGCATTAACAAAACAAAGAGAAAATATTTATAACTAACTCCCATAATAAAGTTTAGAACAATTTTAAAACTTCACGTCTGTCATATGGAACCATAGGTTGATGTTTTTAATTGGTTTGTTCCTACTGAATATTAAAAAATTTAAAGCACAAAATTTAAAGTTTCCATATTTGCTCAACTACTACCTATAAAGTTCTAATCATTTTACCATACTTAGCATTAAGTAATGACCGAGATTTTTAATACTGTTGATAGTACCCACACAAACTAGCATTTGATTATATTTCAGGTTTAAAACAGGCTTTCCTAAGTATCTGGCTACTTCACCCAGTAATCGTATTAAACAACTAACTTTTCCTAATTATGATGTAATTGTTATATAATTCAAAATACCAATCAAATAAATATCTTACATGCTTTAAAAGTAAACCAGTTACCATCAATTCCAACCTCTACCTCTAAAGTCCTCTAAGGTCAATTTTGTTCTAAGCCAGTGCTTTTCCACAGGTAGAAAATTTTGCTCCCAGGGGTCTGCCCCCCTACCCCAAAAGGGTCTGGCAATGTCTGGGGGACATTCTGGTTCTCCAAGTAGGAGGCAGAGGAGGGGGTACTACTGGCATCTAGTCGGTAGAGGCCAGGGATGCTGCTAAACATCCCACAATGCACAGCACAGCCCTCCAACAACGGATTATCAGGTCCAACATGTCCATAGTGCCTCTGTTGAGAAACCCCATTCTAAACTGAAACAAGGAGATTTGCAAACACAGCTGAGACCTTCAAAAAACAATTGCCAAGTAAGTAATTCAAAGTTCACTAAGCTCTGTTATTGGTGCAGAGACCCAGACATAATAAAAGTTGCTTTGCATACTATTAAAATGATGACGTGACTATTCATCATTAATTCATGAAGTTGCAACTGATGTGAAGGATGAAGAGTATTTCCACAACCTACGCCATTAATAATTGCTTTAAAAAAGAACATTTCGGCAGACAAAAAAGGAAATAAGGTAGTGATATTCCTGACAGTTTCCCACCATGCTTCAAGTTTCAAGGACCAAACATCAATTAATGACTACTTTTTGTTGCTATCCTTTAGTTGTAACTTTTTTTTTTGGCCCTCCTCAGTCGTTAGATTTTTAACTGGCTAAAATGTAAAGTAAACGAGGAGGGGGAAAAATCAAGTGAAGAAAGTTAACCATATAGTACTTGTTGGTATAATTATCTTAGACCCAAACACGTTCCTAAAGTATCTGTTAGAACTCTAATGTTTACCTGGCAAAAGAACTGGCTCCAGTTTTTTAATCTTCGGTTCTGAATCAATCTTATCGTCTGTCTGAAATACAGGAGTAAAATAAATCAAAATCAAAACTTTTTCCCCCGTGAGAGACGACAGCAAACTTGTTTTCTAAGGGCTGACACACGCGACAGACACTCATCCCTCCCACTTAAATTCTTGCACATTTTAAACAAGCTCTTTTAAAGATCTGCTCACGATGGAACTGGGAGTCTGACCGTGAAAACGCTAACACCGCCTAAGCCGCTTCCAGGGGTTCACGCTGATGACAGGCAGGTGACCTCTGGTGCTAGGCGCCCACAGCCGTGCAATCACGCCGGCGGTCACAGCGGGGACCGTCGCCAGGCGAAGGGCTAAGTAACTCCAGCTCCGACCGCTCCCTTGGGTCTCGTCACCCGCCGAACTACGGACCTCAGGTCTCGGGCCGGACTTTTA